AAGAACTATCTGGACATGTGGAAGAACTATCTGGACATGTGGAAGAACTATCTGGACATGTGGAAGAACTATCTGTGGACATGTGGAAGAACTATCTGGACATGTGGAAGAACTATCTGGACATGTGGAAGAACTATCTGTGGACATGTGGAAGAACTATCTGGACATGTGGAAGAACTATCTGGACATGTGGAAGAACTATCTGGACATGTGGAAGAACTATCTGTGGACATGTGGAAGAACTATCTTGACATGTGGAAGAACTATCTGTAGCCATGTGAATTCACTGATCAAATTAAATAAGAGTGATGTGTCAAATCACAAAAATTCTTCAGGCAAACATTGCTTTATACAATAAATTTCCATCTCACCAAATGAAATATTTGTTTTCCACTGCATCAAAATTATGAGCAATAATGTAAAGTACTTTATTTTAGCTTGAATAAATTTTCGCTGAAATTTGATGAGTTGAATGTAAAACATAGGCAGAAAGATACATTTACTGGATTTTATTTTCACTAAGTTATCCCATCAGGGAAAATAGTTAAAATATTATCAAAGTGAAAAAAAACAAACACAGTACCACATCTTTTCAAAACTCATTGACGAAATTTAATTGTGATATACTCCTATTGAAATACAGTAAATGTATTTGATTGTTTGAAGTGATACTGTAAAGACATTTATTTTGGCGGTGTTAAAAATTCGAGCATTCCTATTTTCGGACAGCTTAGCGGTGTGTTAACTTTGTACATTTGCCCATTTTCGTTAGTGGCAAAACAAAGACAATGGAATAAACACAGTGTTAGTGTATGCACTCAGATTATTTATGCGTTTTGCACTTGACTACAAGGTACAGTCACTTGCACGACAGATACGCATCAAGGGCTGTGTTGTTAATTCAGCCATTTGTATTGCAATCGGCCGAGGTGTACTTCTACATGGCAATCAAAATTTATTTATTTGGGGGTCACATAAACTTGACCATTGACTGGGAAAAATTGTTGCTTCATCGTTACGTGAAGAGGAAAGGTATGAAAGCTGTCAAAAAATTGTTGATGACTTTCCCGCCGTTAAAGCAGCTTTCCTTGAATGGATAACCAAGATTGTTAAAGAACACGATGTTGCCCAGGAACTTGTTATAAACTGGGACCAGACCAGTGATGCAATAATTCAAGCATGCAAGTGGACAATGGAAGAACAAGGATCACGTCAGGTCACGATAGCAAGACTCGATGACAAACGGCAAATTACTGCATTGTTTGCATTGACTGCGTCAGGTGATTTTTTACCACCTAAGATAATATATCAGAGGAAAACTTATCGTTGTCACCCGGGCTAAAATTTTCCTGATGCTTGGGATATATTTGTAGTATTTGTGCCAGCATGCTGCACAGATCGTCTTCAGCCCCTTGACTTGTCTGTGAATAAGATCTTTAAGGATGCAATGAAGCGAGAATTCCAGAATTGGAGCGCGCGTGTTCAGGAATGAATGACACTGGATCTGAACTAAAACCCCTTCATGTGAAATGGCTCGTTACTGCCGTACAGAGCATTTCCCAATGACACAAACTGAAAGAAGGATTTCTAAAAGCAGGAATTCTAGACAGTTTTCTTTAAGGTCTTGTTTATAGCCTGACAAGGTCGTGAGTTTTTCCGCGCTGCTCCAAACCCGACACACGCCTAAGCCCTGAAAGAACGATGTAGTTTTTCACTTCGACGATATTTTGTCAGTACCAATCAAATTGCAGGAACGTCAGATAGTAACAGCCATCATAGAGTAACCATTCATGGCAGAGTTTATTTGTTTGTTGACATAATGTGTGATAAGGTGCTGACAAATGTTTATCATCTTGTTAAAAAAACAGCCGGTGATTTTTGACGACAACGCAAACACAGCTTTGATTGATAATGTTATCATGAGCACCAAAATGAATATTCATTGAACTCATTGTAAGAAGGTGGAACTTTGCGAGTTTGCAGCATTGATCTTGCCAACAAGACACACACTATTCTGTCAGACGTTAGTGAGGTCTGATGCCGTTCGGCTGGCGAGGGCCTACTCATAGATTTAATAAAAAACAAAACTGTTGACATCAATCAAACTTGTAATGCATATTTTCTGTAAATTATATAACTTCATGTCGACTTTGATGAAACTTTTTCGTGTTTTTTTTTGTCTGTGTTACTAGTATGTGTGAAACCTCAATGGGTGAATACAAATTCAAAATGGCCGCCCCAACCAAAAATTTGCAGAGCGAAATGAGCATAAATTAAACACTGCCGAACATTAACCACTCTACAGTATTATAAAATCCTATACTTACAAGTTGAATGTCTGCTATTGATATTGGTTCACCTGCTAACACAGCTTGTGGTACTGTTGTGCCAATTGGCAATACAGGTTTTCTCATTGTTCTTAAATTACCACCGACTATAGCTAGTCTTGTACTAGAAATAAAACATGCTCAAGTTAGAAACCTTTTTGGGTATAAAGGTACATAATGTATACTTGTAGTAATATCTAGATGTTTTCTTGTATCCATGTTGTTCTATGGTAGGTTAATCTAAGGTTGTCAATGCATTATTTTTTACCTGTAATGTCTCGCTCTATCCATGTATTCATGTTGTTCCATGGTAGGTTAAATCTGAGGTTGTCAATGCATTATTTTTACCTGTAATGTCTAGCTCTATCCATGTATTCATGTTGTTCCATGGTATGTGAATCTAAGGCTGATACATCTATTACATTATTTTCTGTTTGATGTAGTATTCTATTCAAAGCAGACTGTTCATCTCCTTTTGTGATAGATGGTTGTGATTCAAAGTCATCGCTGAAAATTACAAAAAATTGAACAAAGTTATTATACAACACGAGTGTATCCATGTGGTGTTATAGAGCCCCTAGTCACCTGAAAAACTGTTGATTTGGCAGAGGTAGTTAATCAATTTGTATTTTCTAATTACTGTATTTGCCCTATTAGAAGCTCATGTGCTTACACAAATACTGTATGCCAGGGCAAACACCCATCCCATTATAAAGAAATTGAGGTCATGTCCGGACATACACCCAGGGGGTCTTTTTCTACACTTGTAATAAAAAAAATAACAAACACCTATTTTATAGTTGACTTCCTTACAGTCTGATAAAAATTCTTGAAAAATAAATATCAATTATCAGAATCATAACAGTCAGCAAGTCCACAAAAATAAAAAAAAACGGGAGTTCTTTTTTGAAATATGACAGACTGTAAACAAAAAATATCGCCACTGTAGCAGAATCGTGGGAAGCTTTATCCACTGATGTAGTCAGAAAGTCATTCCTCCAGACAGCCTTTGCAAATGATTTACCGGTAGATGGTTCTCAAGACTCAAGACTTTATTTCAGAGAAAATTGTGTGCGACGACATTGACAAACTTCAGGACGAAGCTGTAGGGATTTTGTTTGACGACAATAGTGACATCGACTTGGACTTTGAGGATTTTTACTTTGACGAAGATGGCAAAGAACGTGCAAATAGAGATTTCAGAAGTTTTTTCAAACAACTTTGAACTTTCGTAATTTTTACTGTGTAAATTTGTAAATTATTATTGTTCTTGTATAACTGTTGATCCTGTATTTGTCAAAACAGGAATAATTTTACTCAGTTCAACCAGTGACATTTTGAGGTCCCACGTATTGGCATGTTTGTCGGGGGTGAGGTCATAATTCAAATGATAACTCACTGTCGATTTTTATTATTTCTGATTTATTTGGGAAATTATAAGCAATAAATTATTTTTGTTATATTTCTAATGTTGCATATTGTTCATTTATTTCCGTTGCATGTTTCAATTTGCCTTTCTAATCCTGTCACAGTTTGATCTGCATGCTGTCAATTTTTGTTATTTTGCAGGGGATGTCCGGGCATACACCCACCCCTATTTTTTGGCAATTATCTATGTTCAGGACACTGGGTGATTACCCGAACAACTACGGTATTCTATGGTCAAAACATTTTAATATTCCAGCATACAATAAATACAATTCGCGGTTGACTTGGGCTATTTGAGATGTTCTTCTAATACACAGATTATTACCACAATAAAGAAATAATGTGGATATTGCTGGGAGGCCGTACACAACCCTTTAATGATGACATTTGTACAGCCATTGACAAATTAGTCAACAATTCTTTATCAGTGCCATGAGTCCGGACAAATGTTTTTAGACTAATCCAAAAGAATGTTTGTTTTTTACATTTTTCCCCTTTTATACCACCATTTAGCATTTGACTTAATTTCTTTTTTTATTTTTTGTTCTTTAACATTTGATCCAATTTTTTTTTGTTTAATTTGTTATGTAATGTCACATTTTATTTATTCAAATAATGAAGCCCCTGATTCTAAAATGTTGCAACAAATAAAAAATAAATAGAGCAAAAATGGTATCTCCTTCAGCAACAGATATTTTCTTCTCTGATTCATGTAGTACATGTATAATATTTTCCTTGGCAGTGTTGAATTATCAACTCAATTAGCACCAGATAGCAAATCATATCAATATTAGATTTTGCAAGTAAACATGAAATTTCAACATCTATGCAAATTGTGAAAATTGATGGTAGCGAAAACTGAGCAGTATACGGTAGATGAGGTTTGATTTAAGACGCTATGATAGCCTTCAGGATAACATTCAATTTGGCAAATACTGTAAAACATGTCTTTTTCGCGAGCATGTCTTTTTCGCGAATTTAGCGAGGGAACTGATTCGCTAATTCAAGATGTCGCTAATGACTTTATTATCAATTCAAAATGGCCGCCAAACAAAAAATCAACAATGACAAGAGAGATTCGCTAAATCAACATTTCGCTATTAAGTCATTTTACCACAATTCGCAAAAATTGCATGCCGCTTTTTCAACATGATTTACAGTATACAAGTGAGGATTACTGTAATTCTGTTTGTTGCCTTTCAAATATTGCATACACATCTGCTTTTTTGTTTTACATCGGCTAAATGGGGCTAAAATATGGTGGGCAGCACCATTTGCATGTGTGTTGCATGAAGTGCAATGCCATCCTAAATTAAATTGTGAGTGCCACAGTCAACTGTATTTATGTTTAATTTATTTTAACTAAAATTTGCAGGCAGTATAGGTTATTATATTGACCTATGTCAAGCATTGATAAATCCTTGCCTATACAAGTTACGCTATTAAAATCATTTGCTTGTTTCTTTCCAACAAGTTTCTATTTATGCACGCACATTAATATGACTTTTTACATGGTTCAGAATTGTCAACTATTGAGTCAGCACCATTGTACACTTTAGGACGGGATTGCCAAATTTATGCTTCTCCAAAGAAAGGCTGGTGTTCAATTACAATCAACATGTGTCAGGATAACTTTTTCTAGTAAGAACATGATAAAGGACAATATAAATGCTCAACTTAGAATTATAGCTAATATACATTTTAAATTATAAACGGTTATACATACCGTGTACGAATAAATATTGTAAGGCAGTTCCTGGACAAGGTCAAAATAAATGTCATTTACAATGGGTGTACTCTGCGTACATGACATGGAGGAACACAAGAATATGCTATATACCGTTAACGTAATGATCGGTTACCCAGCTGTATATGCAGTTTCAGTTTTAACATAAATTGGCGTGTATTTCTGCATTTACGTTTGTTCCGTTCAACTTGATAAGCGGCTATTCAGAAATTTACGTTATAAACGTTGAACGAAAATCTGCGTTTTTCAGAAATTTCAATTGATTTATGTTTAACTGAATGGACGACAAACGATGCGTTTCTGCTGACGGTTACACAACGGATACACCATCCCATAATCGGCTGGTTACGTGACGGTTACAAACAGAAATACAAATATAGGTTACCTTGTCACTGGTCTATTAATAGCATTACCAATTTGATTTCCTAATAAGGGACTCCTCTCATCAGGCTCCTGTTCCTACAAAATGCAAGATTGATGTTAAGTCAATTACAGAATTCCTATGATTGTGATTGACAAAGAACCTGTCAAACAAAGAAGCTACATCCACATTAAAGTGTCGAGAGTTCGAGAAATATTTGCATTGAAAATTATATTTTTCAAATTTATTCTTTAATTGTACTATGAACTTTCAAATGCTGAAGTCAAAATAACATACTTTATTTTCGCTGAAAGACTTTTTGGGTGTTCTGTATGGAATTTATTTTCACTGATTTCAGATGAGTTGAATGTAAAATATAGGGTAAAAAGTATATTCGCAGAATTTTATTTTCACTGAATCATTCCTTCAGCAAAAATAGTGAAAATTAATTCCAAGAGAAAATAAAGTATTTTACAGCATGTTATTTTGACTTCAGCATTTGAAAGTTTATAGTACACTACAGTATAATGTCGTGCAAGTTGGTCAAAATTCAGCTTTTCAGAGAAGAGGTTAGGCAACCTCACTAGTATTGTATCTGCAAAAATAAACAACCCAAGTTTAATCTGCATGCATAAAAGTTTCCAAGACAATGCAATGTTTATTCACCACCACTGATAATGTTAATATTTGCATTTCATATTTTCTCTGTGCTGGCTGTTATCTTATATGCTATTTGGTAAACGACAATAAATGTACGTACTGAAATTTATTTATTCATCAGTATGAATCTGTAGTGTTACCAAATTACTGTTATTTTTACTCAAATCATACTATTATCAAAAATGTTTGGCAAATCAGTGTTCAAGTTGTTAATTCAAAATTTTTTAAAAACCACCCAGGACCAGACACTGCAGTGTTGAATTGTTTTGGGTAACCATTTTGTATCATATTATTTTTAAGACCACTGGCCTGTTATAGTTTGTCAAAAAAACTTTAATCATCTCACTGAATTATGATTTTTGTTTTGCCAAGTTACTTTAGGCAAGAAAAAAACAGGAATGGCAATCAGTCACTTTTTTTTTAGCACCACGAATCATACAAATGATACAACGTTCATGCTTTTTGTTTTACAAGCAGCCTAAATTATTATGAAGTAAAAACAATTCTCCTGTGCCTTTCACAGGCTTAACAGTTTTAGACAGTCAAGACATGACACTTTAAATAAATTGAAGTTGGGGAATTAATACTATCAGGCCCACCAAATCTTTCTAAGTAAGATAGACCATGCCAAAAAACGCGTGAGAGAATTAATGGTAGAGTGTGTGCATTTTTTTATTGCAAATTTTTTTCTTTCTCAGTCTTCAGTGCACACAGCATGAATAAACTGATACATTGCTACAAAACACGACGTTAAACTCGCTCAATGTGTGGTACACGCGACGACCGTCGTCATTTGAATTATCTTTTTGAAATAATTGTCTTAAAATATCCTCTGCTTAGTGTCACCAATTTTGCACAGCTTTAAGGTGAGGCCGAGAGTAACTTAAATGTGTATAGGCAAACCATTTCACAGAATATATTCCAACGTGTAAGAGTTTAGTTGGGAACAAGTAAAACTGAATCCTGGATGAGAGCGTGTCACGCGTCACAGAACGTCAGATACAGACATAAAAACACATTTCTTAAAAGCTTCAGCCTTGACAATTCTAAAAATATATACTTTACTGGGTCTTTTTGTAGCCATTTAGTTAAAATCGGAAGATAATATTCTTGCTAACTTAAAGTTGAGAATACATGTTGTATTTTGTATGTCTTAGTTTCAGTTTTTTAAAACCGTACTGTTGTATCTTTCTGTGTCCAGTCAATAAAATATTTATGATGGTGGAAATGAGATGTGATATAAATATGTCATAGCACGATCTATTGGCATGGATTTCAGTTGAAAACAACATGATGATTTTCGAAAGAGGTGATTGCAATTTTCAACAAGCAGCCTATCGGCTGAGATAGCTCCGCTGTTAGCAATGCACATTTCAATTAAAGAACTGAAGACATCATTAGAAAATGAACAATATGAATAGTATCAAAGCAATCGGACTTACAGTTTTTAACAAGAAGTCGAAAATATCACTTTTTACAAAAATTACAAAATATTCACCAAAATAAA